TTTTTTTTTGTGTCTGTTACCACTTTTTCTCAGCTCTCACCGAACCGATTTCTTTCAATGATACGTCAAAAGATCACAAATCGTATCTAGTCGAAGACATTACCCTCAAAAATTGAAAAAATTTCCCTCGTTCCCCGTAAATGGGGGAAACCTCCAAAAAAATTACAAATTTAAAAATCGCTAATTTTCGAAATTTTTTCAATTTTTTTACTAAAAACTGACATAACTTTTTAAAAAATGAATATATCAATATAATTTTTTTTGATATAGATATATAATGTTCTTACCTATCATTTGGTATATATTTTTTATAAATCTGACCCTTTACCTGCCCACAGGAGGGGATTTAAAATGACAACTTTTTCACAAAAAATTAATTTTTTCAACTTAACTTTTGAAAGTGTTCCGGAAAGTCTGACACTTTTATATATATCTTAAATTAAAGCTAATATAATGTACTTTATTATTGAAAAAAAAAATTTCGGACTTTATTTTGTCTTCATGGTGAAAATGACTACCGAATGCTATTTTTGTGTGAAAATACTCAATTTTATTTTTTACATTTTACATTAATACAATTTTTATGAGAAATAATATTTATATCCCTCTTTTATTCGACATACTTTATCCTAATCAGGATATAAATAAAGAAATAGCAGATCATGTAGCTTTTGGAATAATCAACCAATTTTTTAAATCTAAACACTCTCTAAAGATTTGCATCGAAGCGTTTTTTATGATAGTGATTTTAATCACTGTCAGATATCATTATACTTGACCCAACTATACACGTCACCACTGTGCCGCGACCCCCCCGTGCTGGGTTTTATTAAATTTTTTTTTTTTTGAGAGTTTTTTTTTTATGCTAAACAAGATAAATAAAAAATAAAACTGGGTTATTATTTGAAAAACTAAAGTTGATATTGATTTGAAAGTTAAGAAATGAAGATGGAATCTTTATTTTTCTTATCAAGAAGCTCAATAAATTTATAACAAATAAAATAATTACATATATGATAACACTAATATTTTTATAGAAAATTCGTGAGAAATAGTTAGTCAATCACCTTGTATAATATGACGTATAATTTTATTATAATTATGTTATTAATGTTTTAAAAAATTGAATATATTTTTAATATATTATATATTATTAATACATTCAGGTTTCACCAAGAGGAACTATTGAAAAAAAAATATTGAAAGAAAAATTGACAATGTTATTACCACCAGCTGTACTTGATATATATTTTCCAGTTTTTGAAGAATGTGCAGATAAAGGTTAGCTTAACTAATACAGTTAAAAATATTGATTTCATCGAAAATCAGTCTGATATCCGATTTTTTTAATTAATTAATATTTACCAAACATAATAATATTAAATGCGATCATCATATTATGATATGTTTAATGATAAATGCATGAAATCAATTTTTATTTCTTCAACAAGAGTGCGTGAGCTGTACTATAATATAATTGATAATGCGCTTTATGATACTTTTATCGAATGTTCGTCAATGAAGATGCATTTATCAAATGCTTAATCAAATAAATAATTGCAAATCAAAGATAATTTCTATATAATTGAACAATTGAAAGCGTTAGAACAAAACGACTAATGTCCACTTTTAAGAACTTTTTGGGAAATTCAAAAACTATATAATTAAAAGTCATATTTACTTTTACATATTATAATTTAGATTTTGGTGAACTATGTGAAAATGCATTCGAATATATAAAATGTGCACAAAGAGTAAACCCAAAAGTATGTAATTATAATTTGTTTTTATTTAATATAAATATTGAATGGTAATGTTTATTCGTATATACCCATAGACGTATTATTGTCTATGTCAAAATATATAGTACCTTTTATTATTTAAATATAACAAGATTTTTGAAGTATAAAAATTTCAAATGATAGCGTATTGGATTATACATACAGAATGAGTCACCTACTATGTCTCACGTAATATCTTCTAAAGTATAATATAAGAAATAATTTTTTTTTTTAGAAGAGAATACTACCTATTTAAATTAATGAGAAAAAAAATATAATTTTTAGCTAGTTTAACTCATTTACAAATAAGACGATAATTGTAACTGAGAAATTTTGTATATTACTTATTAGAGTTTTAGAATGCTTGGAAGTAATTTCTTATTCTGATTTACTTTGAGGTTTGATTTAAAAGTATACATCTATGGGTGGTCGAATATTTTTATTTATTTATTTTTAGCTTCGATGCGAAGCTGAGAAGGTATTAATTTTACCATGATGTGTTTATTTTTTTTTTTATTTTTTTTTTTTTTTTTTTTGTGTCTGTCACTACTTTTTCTCAGCTCTCACTGGACCGATTTCTTTTAACAATACGTCAAAAGATCACAAATTGTATCTAGTTGAAGACATTACCCTTAAAAATTTAAAAATTTTCCCTCGTTCCCCGCAAATGGGGGAAATATCCAAAAAAATTACAAATTTAAAAATCGACAAATTTTGTCATTTTTTTCACTTTTTTTTCTTAAAACTTCCATAACTTTTTCAAAAATCAACAAATCAACATAATTTTTTTTTAAACTAAAACCTTAGATATTTTCCTTTCATTTGATATAATTTTTTTGAAAATTTAACACTTAACCTGCTCATGGGGGGGGATTTAAAATTGCAACTTTTTTACAAAAACTAACTTTTTCAACTTAATTTTTGAAAATGTTCCGGAAATACTGCGTCCTTTAAACATATATCAAATTAAAGCTTATTTTATGTACTATAAAATGAAAAAAAAAAATTTGTCCCGACACTTTATCTTCTNACCCTTTACCTGCCCACAGGAGGGGATTTAAAATGACAACTTTTTCACAAAAAATTAATTTTTTCAACTTAACTTTTGAAAGTGTTCCGGAAAGTCTGACACTTTTATATATATCTTAAATTAAAGCTAATATAATGTACTTTATTATTGAAAAAAAAAATTTCGGACTTTATTTTGTCTTCATGGTGAAAATGACTACCGAATGCTATTTTTGTGTGAAAATACTCAATTTTATTTTTTACATTTTACATTAATACAATTTTTATGAGAAATAATATTTATATCCCTCTTTTATTCGACATACTTTATCCTAATCAGGATATAAATAAAGAAATAGCAGATCATGTAGCTTTTGGAATAATCAACCAATTTTTTAAATCTAAACACTCTCTAAAGATTTGCATCGAAGCGTTTTTTATGATAGTGATTTTAATCACTGTCAGATATCATTATACTTGACCCAACTATACACGTCACCACTGTGCCGCGACCCCCCCGTGCTGGGTTTTATTAAATTTTTTTTTTTTTGAGAGTTTTTTTTTTATGCTAAACAAGATAAATAAAAAATAAAACTGGGTTATTATTTGAAAAACTAAAGTTGATATTGATTTGAAAGTTAAGAAATGAAGATGGAATCTTTATTTTTCTTATCAAGAAGCTCAATAAATTTATAACAAATAAAATAATTACATATATGATAACACTAATATTTTTATAGAAAATTCGTGAGAAATAGTTAGTCAATCACCTTGTATAATATGACGTATAATTTTATTATAATTATGTTATTAATGTTTTAAAAAATTGAATATATTTTTAATATATTATATATTATTAATACATTCAGGTTTCACCAAGAGGAACTATTGAAAAAAAAATATTGAAAGAAAAATTGACAATGTTATTACCACCAGCTGTACTTGATATATATTTTTCAGTTTTTGAAGAATGTGCAGATAAAGGTTAGCTTAACTAATACAGTTAAAAATATTGATTTCATCGAAAATCAGTCTGATATCCGATTTTTTTAATTAATTAATATTTACCAAACATAATAATATTAAATGCGATCATCATATTATGATATGTTTAATGATAAATGCATGAAATCAATTTTTATTTCTTCAACAAGAGTGCGTGAGCTGTACTATAATATAATTGATAATGCGCTTTATGATACTTTTATCGAATGTTCGTCAATGAAGATGCATTTATCAAATGCTTAATCAAATAAATAATTGCAAATCAAAGATAATTTCTATATAATTGAACAATTGAAAGCGTTAGAACAAAACGACTAATGTCCACTTTTAAGAACTTTTTGGGAAATTCAAAAACTATATAATTAAAAGTCATATTTACTTTTACATATTATAATTTAGATTTTGGTGAACTATGTGAAAATGCATTCGAATATATAAAATGTGCACAAAGAGTAAACCCAAAAGTATGTAATTATAATTTGTTTTTATTTAATATAAATATTGAATGGTAATGTTTATTCGTATATACCCATAGACGTATTATTGTCTATGTCAAAATATATAGTACCTTTTATTATTTAAATATAACAAGATTTTTGAAGTATAAAAATTTCAAATGATAGCGTATTGGATTATACATACAGAATGAGTCACCTACTATGTCTCACGTAATATCTTCTAAAGTATAATATAAAAAATAATTTTTTTTTTTAGAAGAGAATACTACCTATTTAAATTAATGAGAAAAAAAATATAATTTTTAGCTAGTTTAACTCATTTACAAATAAGACGATAATTGTAACTGAGAAATTTTGTATATTACTTATTAGAGTTTTAGAATGCTTGGAAGTAATTTCTTATTCTGATTTACTTTGAGGTTTGATTTAAAAGTATACATCTATGGGTGGTCGAATATTTTTATTTATTTATTTTTTTAAAATAAGTAATCATTTTCAACCATTCAAAGCAATTATCATACTTTAATTTGATTATTGTATTAAGACATTTATAATTTTTTTTTTTCAGACACTTAACTATTTTCCTGTTTGAGTAATGCTATTATTAGTCGTATTTTGAATAGTATTTTTTATTGTATACTATATTATAATTGATATGTTTATATTATAATATAAAATAAAATAAAACTTTAATATTTTGGTAGTATATTGATTTAGATTTTTAAAACACCCGTATAATATTATACTTACTATTATTATATTTAAATATTATTAGTATTTATTTCTTTTATAGTTTGGTATAGTACAGTATAATACTGTACTTTTCATATTATACATAATATTTCAAAGCAGCATTAGGCTTCCTACTAAATTTTAGTAATTATTTATTTGTATCATACGTTTTTTGATAGTATTTTAATTTAGCGAGTTTTAATTATCTTATAACCTTTTCTACTCAAATCGTATGATAAAATTAAATCGTGGCTTATTTGTGTACAAAGAGAATATAGACAGATTATTAGTACTAAGAAAAGTTGATTAAGGCATCTATTAAAGCTAATTGATAACCAATTATTATAAATGTTATACACGAAAATCTAAAATATTATAATAAGCCGCATAGATTTATTTTTATCTATCTCGAAGCCTCATGTGCATACGATTACTTTTAGAATAATTTGGTCGATTACGTGAACAATGTGTAACAGATTAATTAATGATTAATCTGTGACTTGGAGAAGAATGTAAGATATTCATTGCAAGTAGAAAAAAAACATGGTTACATTTGTGTTCGTATAAAAATGTGTTTTATGCTAAAAAAATTACAAAGAAAGTTTTCAAAACTATATTTTTTAATATACTACAAAATTTAATTTTTATGCATCCATATATGATCAAGATAAACTTTTATAAATAGATTTCTTTTATTTGAAAAATTGGTAATTTTGTAGAATTAAAAGTAGAATCAATAATATCTACCTTGAATGAAGTAAACTATTAGATTATTGACTTTAGAAACGGAGGTTTAAAACATGTAGTAAAGTAAGAATAATTTGGCCAGTCAAATAATAAATAAAAGACTTATGCTTCAATTCAAAATAATTTATCAATATCTCAATTTTATCATTTGTTACAATAATATCTTACAATATTGCACAAAATAATTTTAGGTAATTATTTAAATTATTATTAAAGAATGAACAATTGAGATTTTTACATCTTTTAAAATACTTAATTAAATTATATTTTGATGCTATTGCTATGTATTTAATATCAATTTGTTCACTGAAAAAGTTTCTTTAATTATTATTTAAATATTATTATTATGTTAAAAGCTATAAATTTCTAATGACTAAATTGTTAATAATATTTCATCAATAATTAAGATATTACAGTAGATCTAAATTTAGATATTTTCTACAATATGCCGCAAATAGACGACTCGATTATTTAGTCAACAACTCGGCGCGGTGTTCATTCACTAGTGATGCTATGAGAATAAAAATAAATTGATTACAATTAAATTTTAAGTTCAATCTCTAGTCTAGAACAGAAGCCTCAGCATTTTATAACAGACCTTTCAAATATACCATAACAAAAGTAAGGAAAAAAATATTAACTTTCTAGAAATCAATTTAGACAAAAAAAAAACAAAAATCACCACTGTACTCAAAGATTTATTTAATATTATGTTGGTATTATATTAATAAGTATAAGATTAATTAGAAATCAAATGATGGTGTGGTCGAGTCGGTAACGTGGCAGTGCTTGGCGCTCACTGCCTCGGGTTCGAAACTCTGTAACGGGAAACTTCGTTTGTCGAACGACCTGTTCAGTAGTTGGAGCGCCATCCTCCTCTCTCTGGTGACGGACTAACCAATTCGTCCTGGAGTATAAATGGTTAAGAAAACCTCCTCCTTTGGGAGAGACCGCTATGACCCTTAATCGTGCCGATAAAAGCACTAAAAAAAAAAAAAAATGAAAAATGAAGAATGTTATAAGTTTGACACACATTGATAAAATTGCATTACTGAATGTTTTTTTTCTGTATTTTCAGAAAGGTCCTTTACTAAAATACATTTTAAGGTTATAGTTATGTATTTATCATTTTCAAATAATTTAACAAAGTTAATTTCAGTGATAAGTACTCGGTTGTACTGGATAATACTTTGTACACACTAATTAATGTACAAATTGTTAAGATTTTGTATTTAAAAAATGTATTAATATAATAAAAATGTTAGGTAGTTTCTAAATAAATTTTAAACTACCAATTGTTATTACCATATACTGGATAATAAAATAACATAAATAATACAATTAATGATAAATAAAGTAAACAACAATCAACAATTGTTAGTGTAATATAAGTAATCGTGAATAATATAGAACATTTATAGTCACTAATACAATAGGTCTTTGAAACTTGAAAAAGTGTATTTATTATAAAAAAAAATTTGAACTTTTAGTTTTTAAATATTGATCTTGCATGAGGCTTATCACGTGCTTTTAACAAGCAATTACTAATTGATGCGCTGTCCAAATAAATGTTAGATACATTTCTGGACCAGTTCTTTCCGATAGTTTTAATGATTGTCGATTAGGTAGTCATTTTTGTTTACCTAATTAAAAACGCACAGACAATCGCAGAATCCAAAGTCTGTCCATCAACCATAAATTATACATTAGTATAACTGTTACATTTGAATTGAACAGACCTAGTTAGGTAAAAATGGATTTGGTTAAAGGAAAACAATTATTTTATAGTTTAATTTTGTTGAGTATAACAATTCTTGTTTGTGTAAGTATGATATAGCTATAAAAATAATATAATGATTAAAACATTATATTGTTTAAATGTTTAAGTAAAATTCTTATGTAAGTTTAACGATTATTTCATGATCTGTGTAGGGACGATTTACTCCAGAACAAATCGATTTTTACGGAAAAGAGTGTAATGCAAGCCAAGGTAAGCAAAAATTGTCATTAAGCTGACCTTTTTTTTTTTAATTTAAAATTTTTTGTTGATACTTTTATAAGTATTATAATAAATAAATATAATAATAAAATTTAGTAAATAATACAATTTCAAAAATCATAATTGATCATTGTATAAACTAATTGATAGTTTTAGCATGATTTGTATTAAACAAAATAATTATTACTCAGCCTCAGAATCTTAATAAAAGAGCTTTGAAATATAAAAGTACATTTCATATGAAATATGTCATAGAGTAAAATAGCAAAAATAGGATTAATAGAATGGAATTTTTATAAATATTATATTTATTAAAATTTATTTTAAATATATAAGTTATTAGCATTCAGGGAAAATTTTTCAACTAAAACTTTTGCAAGTTTTACTATTTATGTATACTTTTAAATTGATTTTAAATTGACATAAACTAATTTGAAATTAGTAAGGTACAAAGCCTCTCTCACTTCTAACTGTAAACGTTCATTGAAGTTAGTAGTGGTCAGTCTTATTAAAATACATAGTGAACTTTTTTACTCATTAAGGTATTTTAGTAGGCAAAATTCACTCCACACCTACTTAAACAGTAATTCTAAGATTGCTCCTAGGGATCTGGTTTAAATTTTAGATCTTAAACTTAAACATTTTTATTTGAGTATACAGTTGCTAAAGTATGTACGTCCATATTATTTTTTTTTAATTGTGTTTTTTTTATATAATCAGTATATAAGACTCATTTTAAACGCTATCTTTATATTTTCTACTAAGTGAAAACATTTTTCTGACCTAGATTAACATATTTCAACAATTTTATTCAAGGCTACAAAATGAATAAAAATAACAATTGCAATTTGATCAAGAATTTCAATATTTATAATCCATTTAAACTTAATTATATTATATCAATTTTGATTCCGATTTGGTTTTTGGTTACTACATTTTGTTAAATTTGATTTATTTAGTTATTTGAAGAATATTGACAGTTAAAAATTACATTCAATAAAGATGTCAAAATAAATTACATTCAGTAATTTATTTATTTAAAATTTAAAATTTAAAAACAAAATTTTAAATTTTGTCAATCAATATTAATAAAATGTAGAATTTGATTTATTTTCAATATAATTTTAATTTTGTAAAACAATTGAAATTTATTTAAAATAATTATTACAAGCTATCAGACTTGTAATCAGCTGAGGTATGAAGTCGGGACTTCATGTTTTTTTTTTAAATTACATTAAGTTTACAAGGTTAAGTTTAATAGTGAAGGAAAAATTGTTCATGTAGATTACCCCAAGAAACCTTTTTTTTTAGTTATTAATTTTGAGTTAGAGTATTTATGTAATGATTTAATACTTTAATTTATTTTATCATATTTTTAACACAAAATTTATTATTTTTTTAGAAGACTTACAAATAGCCAAAGAATATAAAGTACCCACTTCGGAATTGGGGAAGGTATATTATAAATATTATAAAATATCAATACTTAAAACAAATATAATTCAGAATTAAATTTGAAGATATCTTCTTATTTGAAAGTTTTGTCTAATTTGTATTAATTTTTATTCTAAAAAATTGTTTTATAATTTTTACATTTTTATCAATTTTAGTATAATTGGAGTGTTTTAAATTTACACTTATAATATCTCACAAATATTAATGTCTAACTATCCAATGATTAATTATGTTGTATTGTTTCAGTGTCTAATGAAGTGTATGATAAGTAAATTAGGAATGGTAATGATTAATTTCTTTGAATTGTTAATTATTTATTAAACCAATTGGTGTTAATGGTTGATTATGATTTATTATTAGTTAAATTCAGATGGAACATATAATAAAACTGGTACTTTTGAAGCATTAAAACAATACTGGCAAGAATGGCCTATTGATAAAGTAGAATTAATTAATAACAAGTGTCATTCAGAAGGTAAATTAATGAATTATTATAATTTTTATAAATGTTATGCGTTAATAAAATGTTTATTATTTCTTTTCATACAATATTACTGTATTTTATATTTTCATACAATGTTATTTTATGAAAAGAATTTACATGAACTCAGCATATTTTAATTTAATAGTTATAATATTATTTTTTTGGGGCAAGTAGACTTATTTTAAAGCTTATTATCGATAAGTTAAATTCTATAGTTAGATTATTAAAAATATTTTTTAGCATCAACACTTATAACAGACATAGAATTTTAAACAATATATGATATAAACTTTGTAAATTGTCAAAACCTTGTTGAAGTATAATGATTAAAAAAGAAAAAACTTAAATCAATAGATGAATTTTATATTATATATTATTGATACAAGTATCTATTTTTTTTTTTTTTTGTATATTAAAATATTTTATAATTATTTTTAATTTCACATATTTTTAGTTTAAAATATTAATGAGATCATTTTTTAAAAAAGATGTATCAATTACAAAATTATTTTTTCATTAAAATATAATTGAATTATTATATTAATATAATATATATTAATAGATATGATAAATAAGAATATTTTTAAAAATATATAAAAGTAACACTAAATTTTGAATTTAACAACTAATAAGCTTTATATTATAAGCCTATAATAAAGTAAACCTATTAAAAACTTCCCCCCAAAAAAAAAAGTTAGACTATTAGCTAGATTTAGTTAATAAAGCTTATAAAATTTTTAACATATGTATATCAAAAGTATTAGATTATTCTGAATTTATATATATTTTTAACTTACGATAAAAGGGTTATGTATGTATTTTATAAATAATTTTTTAACACTTATAGTTCTACATTATATTGTAATATATATTATTTTTTTTTGCTAAAATTGTTAATAATGACAACTTAATTTATAGCTAGCAAAGCATCACCAGATGTAATAGCAACATGTAATTACGCCTTTGAAGTTATGGCATGTATTAATATAGAAGCAAAAACCGTAAGTATTCTTTATTAAAAAAAAATATATATAAATAAAAAAAATCTAATTTTTTTTTTAGCTTGGAGTATTATAATTACAAATGCTATAGAACAAGTTGGAGGATCAATAAAAAAAATGCAATCAAAAGAAGATTTTGTTATGTATTATAAGAATTATTTTTATTAGTAATTTGATCAAGTACTCAAATCCGACTTAAATCATAATTTAATTTTTACGAATTTCACCGATCGTAGAATGTACAGTATTTATTTCGGGTTTTCCAAAGACCTTGACATATTCAATAATCAACAATTATAATTACTGTAATTGTTTTAATATTAAATAAAACACTTTTCATCTAAAATGTGATTTGTCACCGTTTGTATTGTTTTTTTTTTATAAAACCTCCAAATACGATTTCCGCCAGGAAATACAAGAATTTACGGGTATAAGCTTTAATTAACTTTTACTTAGTCGATGTTGGTAAGCATCAAACCATATAAATTGATGAAAATGAACTAGAACGAATTATTATACTGTTGAATTTGTGTTAGTTAATATTATTGTTGATAAAATTTGTCTATTATTTACTACATAAAAGTTTTGAATAATACCAAACTAAGATGTGGAGTAATAAAGTGCTATGTTTCAGTTTGATTGTTGCTGTTACGTTTGTAAGTTATAGAACTAAAAATTATATTTTATATTTCCTGCACTAATTACAACTTGAATTGAGCTGTTTTGTAACATGTTGCATTAAATAATAATAAAATATATATATATATATATATATATATATATACATACATTAATATATAATAATTCTTAAACTACTTCAATATACATTTTTGGTGTTATGTTTTTAATTACTAAAAAATTTTAGTTAAAGTCTAATTTTAATTTTTTTAATTTTTGATCGAAAATTTTTAAATACACGAATTTTTAATACTTAAAATAACTTCACTATTTAATCTAATTGAAATAGAATTTTATACAAAGTCTACACTTATTTTTTACGAAAACTATAACTAATAATTAAATTTCTTACATTGTAGTTTGTTTCAAAGATAAAAATCAATTTGAGATAATTTATGACTAAATTAGTCATTTAAGTGTGTCATATAATTAATTTTTTCAAGTAAAAATATCTTATCGCAATGATGGTCAAAAATATTTACCTGACATTTTTTTTTTTATTAATTAGGTAACATTGAAAATTAGTAAATTTTTGTTTATAGGCAAATGAAAATGCTAAAAATCACGTTGCTTCAATTTATAAAAAATGTCAAGAAGAAGTGAAATTATCAAATGGTAAGCTTAAAGAGTTTGAAAGTACTAAATTAATTATTTCTCTTAAAATATACAGAGTGATTTTATTATAATAACCCACTCAATTACTTACAGAATAAATATAATTTAAACATTTTTTTTTTTGTTTTCTTTAGTTACACATTATTTTTTAATTATTAACTATGTAATACTTTTTACGTTCACCCTTTACACCTGGTAAGAGTGTCAAATTTGTTTTTTTAAATGGGAACACATACTTTAAATTTTAATAAAATGTTTGAGTTTTTAATTTAATAGTGAATAGTATTTGAATTTTTAGTATAACTTTATTTGTTTATTAGATATAAACATTTATAGTTTCAAATTTTTGAGTCAATTAACATATATAATACACAAGGGATTACAAATACAGGTAGCTAATTGGTTTTTTATGATATTGCTATCACAGTAATAGATTGTTTATTATCAATTATGACTATCATTAGATATACTTTCTGTATTATCAGTTAGTGTATTTATAAACTCGCAACAATGTGCCTTAATACCATTAAAAATGATAATGCTATGTACCTGCTAATATCGATGTCATAAAAAAACCAATTAGCTACCTGTATTTGTAATCTCTTGTGTATTATACATGTATATTAACTCAAAAATTTGAAACTTTAAATATTTATATCTAATAAACAAATAAAGTTATACTAAAAATTCAAATACTATTCACTATTAAATTAAAAACTCAAACATTTTATTAAAATTTAAAGTATGTGTTCCCATTTAAAAAAACAAATTTGACACTATTACCAGGTGTAAAGGGTGAACGTAAAAAGTATTACCATAGGCGGACATTTAGTTATATTTTGAGGGGGGCTAACATTTTTTACACAAAGTGACCCGCAGGGGCTTCGCCCCCGCACCCCCAATTAAATAACATAATAATAATGAATAAAAAGTAAATAATTAACATATTATACAATTAAAAATTATATATTAAATACTACTTCAATAATAAATATCTATTTTCATTCGCGAATAAATTTAAAATTTCCTCCACATTAATGTTTTTAGAAATATCTTTTTCAATATATAAAATTGATACATTTGTAAATTTATCTTGCGTCATTGAATTTCTAAGCCAAGTTTTAATTTTTTTCATAGCTGAAAAGCTTCTTTCGCATGTAGCTGAACTTATAGGTAAAGTTAAGGCTACATTAAATAATTTGTACAAANGTTAAAGTTAAGGCTACATTAAATAATTTGTACAAATTCGGGAACGTTGATTTGTTTTCAAATAATATAGATATAATATTCTCGACATTCATATCCGCATCAGGACCAATGGATTGTAAAATAACATTTTTAGCAACTGTCATCTCACAATTAAGACATTCTTTAGATACATCCATTGAAGACTAAATGGGAGTATTAAATAGGTAATAATTAACTATAAACAGACAAAGTATTAGATATTTAAACTAATAAGAGTAACTTACATGATAATGATCAATAAAATGATAACTTTCCTTGAAGTTTAAATTAAGAAAAAAATCAACTGATGAAGCCATAGTTAAACTTTCTTGCGAAAACCTTTTCTTTAAATTTTCAACTATAGCATCTATAATTGGAAAAAAAGCTGAAGTTCTAAAATGATCTTCGACACTAATTTTTTTTATATTTTCATTGGATTTATATTGATCACTAGTAGGAGTAGAGACAACAAAATTTTTCAAAGAATTGGGTTGCAATCTTTTTCTTTTTGAATCTAAATTATGACAATAAAAATAAATAAATATAGAAATTAAATAAACATTATCTGTTTATATCATCTCTTTATATTATCTACCTTGAGATGAAATTTCAATATCTAAATTATGTTCATTCATAAATAGTAATATTTCATTCCAAATTTCAGTAAAACATGGTGAAGTTCTCAAAAAGTACTAAACACAATATCATTATTAAACAAATATTACTAGTAAACTACTATTAAATTTAACAGATAGTAAAATGTAACCACAATTCCACATCAGACATATTTTTATAAAAAAAAAACAATAAAATTTAATATTTTGTAAACAGAATTGTGGATAATTTAGAAAGATTTTTTAAGAGGGCTTCTAAAATTTCAGGGGGGGCTAAGCCCCCCCCAATGTCCGCCTATGAGTATTACATAGTTAATAATTAAAAAATAATGTGTAACTAAAGAAAACAAAAAAAAATGTTTAAATTATATTTATTCTGTAAGTAATTGAGTGGGTTATTATAATAAAATCACCCTGTATATATATCTACGGATATTCGAAAAGTGAAGAAAAAGGTTTTTGTTGTTCGTAAAGTTGACCTAATTCCTTAGATCAATTGATCTATTTAACACTATTCGTCTAATATGTGGTTAGCTAATTTAAAGAATCGAGCAATTAAGAATTTTTTAAAGTCAACATTTTATTAATAATAAAATTTATCTCCAAAAATCTAAAAGAGTTATGTAATTAAAATTCTTTTTGATATTTCTTATCACATTTAAATATCATCAGCTTTAATAGTTAGAAGTAAGGTCAATTAAATAATAAAATTTTCCAATTTAAAATACTAGAGAGTAAAAATTTTAAGTAATATCAATGATTCTTATTCATAAGGTAAAGTTCAGTATTAGGACAGTCAACTCATATTCATATTACTTAGAATATTACTATCGTTAGAATTTTATGAACCTTAGGATATTAATTTAAATTTGATTTTTAGAGGAAATGCAAGGATTTCGATCAATGGGAATACCAAAATCTCAAAACGAAAAAGTGAGTAATTAGAATGTAAATAAAATATCGTATGTTATATAATAAAATTTTTGAAATTTTGTTTAGTGCATGATGGGTTGCTTAATGAAAGAAGTAAACGTGGTAAGTAAAAATTAATTATAAAACTAGTATTGCTATAGTATTACAATTTTTTAGTTAAAAGGATCAGCATATATGACTGATAGTAATAATATATTTAATGGTATTAAGATAATATAATAATATTATATTTGTTAGATTAACAATAAAAAATTCTCCATCGAGGGGGCATCAAAAATAGCGGAAAAGTATTACGGATCAAATCAACAATTGATGCAAAAAGCAAGAGGTATAATTGAAACCTGTGCTAAGAAATGTGAGTAATTCTGAAATTAACAATTTAATTTCTACTTATAAAACCAGTTATAACTACTATTTCTATTCATATCAAATAAAATTATGTATATCTTGAAAACAAAAAAAGGAATATAATTTATTTTATTTGAGTATGTGAGTTTAAAATTTTGTCATGACAATACTAATATCATTTTTTTTATTTATTTTTTTCAAAATTTCTAGTTTTTTTTTATTGTGATTATGATCTAGTATGCATCATAAATAATTAATAAGAATGCATAAAATAAACTTTAGATACAATATAATTAGGACATTTTGTAATATTCTTTATAGATTACAAAAATTATTAATAAGTAAAAATTTCATATTCTAACATATAATTATTATTAATAGATGAGATCAGGGGCGGACTTAGGTATGTGGTGGCCCCTGGCCGGAATGCATTGTGGGGGCCCCTTATACATAAACAAGGAAATATATTTTTTTACTTATTAAATAACAATTATCATATTTGTGATACCAATGTATACCAAATTTGTGAGGGCCCTTGGGCTGCAGCCCACTCAGCCCTCCCCTAAATCCGGCCCTGGATGAGATCATAATCTTAAACATCAAATCATTATTATTTTGTTCTTATGATAATACATTTTTAAATTGAGAAATAAAAAGAATAATATAATATTTTTACTTATTTTTTTATTTACTATTCATTTATTTTCTCATATAGATTCTTGATTTTTTCTTAATCTTTGTATGCTTTTCGAAACAGGTTTTTATATTGTATTACACACTTAGCAAACAACTGAAGTGTAATTAATAATAAATTAAATAAATAAATAAAAAATAATAAATAGTAAACCACTCTGAATAGATATAAATTACAAGGGAGTAGTTTTTACAATTTAATTTATTTACATATTATTGCCTTTATAGTATATATATATAATTCAACAAAATTATACAATATTTTAATTAATCTAAATTTACTTGATATTCAAATACTATTTATGAACATTTTATAAACGTTATAAACATTGGTTTTTAGCGGAATCGGCTAGTGATGAATGTTCAGTCGCTGGTATCGTAACTACATGCATTGTAGAAGAAGCTGCTAGAGTGAGTATTTTTGAACTCATTTTTTAATTTTCATTCATCCTTTCTTTTTAGAATGAAAAAGCTTAATAATTTAAAGTATTTCTTTGACGTATTTAATTTAATATATTTACATTTACTTTTTTAGGCAGGACTAAGCGGTGGACCAGGAAATAGTTCAACATAAATTATTTTAAGAGTTGTTAAAAGTATATAAATGAGTGTAAATGTGAAATTGAATTTCTTTATGGCTATTATAAATATTTATAAAATATTCTTGTTTTATTCCTTGTAGTTAATTTTGTATGTTTAATAAAGACAAAATTTGACTTTAAAGTATGAATTACTTTTTTAAATGAATTAGAAATTATTTAATTATATTGTGATGTTATATTCTTTCAAAAGATTTAATAAAACAAAAATTTTAAAAATACGTTTGAACACTATTCTATTTTATATGTGTCGGATACAGTGCGTTCTTAAGGAGTGAAACTCCTTGAATAGCGAACTTTAAGAGGCATATTCAGGGCCGCATTTAGGAATTGTGCAGCCCGGGATGTCAATTCTGATACCTGCAATAACTATTTTTTTTTTTCACTCATTTAAAAATGTTTCCATTTTTAGTACAAAAAAAAAAAAAGTTTTTTAACTCTATAATTTATATCTTAGTGTCACCTGGAGTAATTGGACCTAAAACCCCTCTAAATATCTAAAGAGAAAATTACTTTTTCTTTTTTTTTGTCATGACAAAAAACTGAAATTTTTAGTATCTAATAGAAAAACAAAATCAGCATCTAGTTGCTATTCTATTATTAAGTACTGTATACTTATAATAAATACAAAATTGTGTAAGCTATATCATTTTTCAATACCATTATTTTTCCTATTGACAAAAAAATTAAAAATAAACTATGTCTTAGAAAACATTTGTGTTAATATAAATTTCAGACAATCATTTAGGTTAACATTGTAATCTCAATAAGAAACTTAAAACGATGAAAAAAAAAGCTGAAAACGATAATTTATAATTATTTTTTAAATTTTAAAAAAATTAGGATAAATAGGGCAATAGGAAAATTTTATTTAAAATTGAAATATAAAATATGATTATTAAAATTGCTGGCTAAAATTGATTAAATATGTAATATGAGGCAATTACTAAATTTTCATATAATTGTCTTTTTCAAATTGTATTTTCTTATACATGTATATTAATTTAATTTTTTATTTCAATTTATTTAAAACATATTAAGAATTGTTTATATTTTGTTATTCTAATGTAACGAAAATATATAAATGAAACAAAACGCTAATTAAATATAAATGATATTTTTTAGCTAAATATATACATGATAAAACATATATATATATATATATTATAAATAAATAAGTTTTTATTGTTGATTTTTCATATATTCCTCTTTAAGTAGACGTCGAAGAATTTTTCCCGCTGCACTCTTAGGAAGTGAGTCAACAAATTTTACGCCTCCAGTAATCTGTTTATAAGGCGACACTTGTTTTGATACGAAATTTTGTACTTCTTCAGTGGATGGTGATGCTGCATCAGGGTCGACTACAACGAATGCAAGTGGAACTTCTCCTGTTTTAGGGTGAGGAATACCCACAACAGCTGCATCCGTGATACTCGGATGAGTTCTTAATATACCTTCCAGTTCTGCAGGAGGTACCTAAAATGAAATAGTAAAATATAATATGTATACAACTTTGTTCAATACACAAACTTTTAATAAAAAGTTAAGTAGAATTTCATAGAGTAATCATTGTTTAAAAGCAAACCTAAAATTATAAGTTTCTTTTAATTATTAACGCTAAAAAATATTTATCGTCATTTAAGGGCCTATTAATAAGAAGTTTTAGATAATTTAAAGTAAGTAGTTTTATGTAGTAATAAAATAGTCTGACAAAACCATCCTTCGTAAATTACTACAACTAATGATAACTAAGTAGTATTTAATTGTTAAAAAGCGTTAGTTTAATATTTAGTAAGATAGAAAATAGATAAGAGTAATTTAAATATTTTCTTTCTTATAATCATTCGTCTGATGTTTATAAGTAGATTTTTTTAGTATATAAATACTTTAAATTTTAAGTTACTAAATAGTTTCAAATTTATGTTATGCAACAAAAAGGAATCAAATTACGTTGTTTCCTAGAGCACATAAGCATGTATATATTTGACATATTTTATAAGTATTTCTTTTGAAAGTTTAGGAAGATTAAAACTTTTGTAGTGAAAATAAACGTCAAGAGTAAAGTCAGAAGTTACTCAAGAATAGTGATTTTTCAGATGAATTCACGAAATGAGTTTTTTAAATGCATTTGTTAAAGAAGTTGAATACAATTATTTCAGATAGAAGATAACTTTTTTAATCACAATGGCTTTTTATGGTACATTTTTAAGATATTTTTGTTGATGAGTTAAATTAAATTAAGTAATAAAACTCATTTAAAATGTTCGTAGTGTTAATATATTCAATGTTTATTTTTACAGAAGTAAACTTTATTACATTAATATTAAAACATTCATTTTGCTTTATTTAATTACCATTTTTTGCGTTATTCTCTAAAAATAATATTTATCATAGAGCAGTTAGAAAAATATATTAAACACAATTATTAAACAACTCTATTATAAAAAATAAATAATTAAATCGATTAATAATGACTTTTTTTAATTTTTATATTTTAATTAAAGATTAATAGAATGAATAAAAATCGATTTAATTAAAAAGGTTTGACGTCAGAAATCCAATTGAATAATAAAATATGAAACTGATCATATTCGACTTACTTGGTATCCTTGAACCTTAATTAACTCTTTTAAACGGTCAGATATGTAAAAGTTATCTTTTTCGTCGTAGTATCCAATATCTCCAGTGCTTAACCAACCATTTGAATCAATAGTATTTGCTGTGGCTTTTGGGTTATTATGATAACCTAACATAACCTAAATAGTACAAAATCAGCTGACTCATTAATTTAATTTTTAAAAACTCATGTTAAATATTCATTAGATCTACTTGTGGGCCTTTAACTTGAATTTCTCCAGATTCGTTAGGCCCATACAATATACTGTAATCATTTGGATCAACTATCCTAGCCATTGTATTAGAAACTGGAGGTCCTACAGTTAAGTAACTGAATCGATCACTATTTCTTGTTACAAAAACTACTGGTGAGGTTTCAGTCATACCATAAGCTAATGAAATAAAAATGATCGTGAATCATACATTGATGACAAAATATAATGAAATGGATTAATCTAACACTTAAAATAATTCGTACGGGTTTAGTATTTACGTTTTATTATTATTATTATAAATTTTAACGGGACAAGTCCAACTTATAAATTTGAATTTAGTATATAATACAATAAAAAAAAAATTTAAAAGTTATTTCAATAATATAATTATGTATATATTGAGAATAAAATAATTTAAATTTTGTGAGTTATAATGAGAAGGTTATGTCAGCATTAGCAGCACGCATAAAACGGATTATAAGAGATATAAGCAATTGTGATGTTGAACAGTGAGGAATACAGAAAAGAAAAGAAGAACGAGTAAATCTGAGTGAAGTTTTAAAATTAATGAGGGATAATAATTTAGGAGAATCTACATTGTCTTAAAGAAGGCCCGAAAGAAAACTAAGATTTATAGTATGTCTACGACCAGCTGGAGTTGAGACACAAAGTGCCAAAAGGACAGGAGCATAATCATGTGACATAAAATATTAAATCTATAAGAACATAGACGTAGACATTTTCTTTGGACACGCTCAATCGTGGAATTGGAGATAAATTGGTATTAAGTTTACATTAATAGTATTTTATTATAAATCACTGTAGAGTAAAATTGTTTAATCATATTCAACCATGTATTTAAACTCAAAAAATAATATGATTTTAAAAAACATATAACATATCCTGCTATTTCAAACATAAAAAGGTTTCATAAATAGTTTTTGTAATTTATAATGATTACGGAGCATACTTTCAAATCTTTTTGATTAGAGAGTATAAAACATGTTAATTTAGTATTTCAGTGAACCAAATCTAAAATAGTTAAGAAATGAGAATTGGTTGGTTTTTGAAGTGAAAAGCAAAAAAATTTAATTGATATAATTACATCCAATACAGCAAATCTCGAATGTTTGATATTTATTTTCAAGAAATACATACTCGCATTTATATAATCAACACATATTTTAAACGTTTTTAGAATAAAAATCTCTATTTTTTCAAGATGGAGCAAAAAATATCTATTTTAATTAATATACATTATTTATTAATAGAAATAATAATAAAAAGCTTAACCTGAAGTATAATATAATTATACTCTTGGCTAAGCTATGGAATTCGTAACTACCAATTTTGGTTTTTAGATAATACAAAATGAATTGTACAATAAAATGACATTTTACATAATCAAAATAACAAATTTATATGAAAATAGTGCGTTAGTTGAAATATTATATATTTTATATGCATTTTTATAATGATGAAATAATGATTGTGACAATTAATGGAACTTTCGCCAAATAAGTTTACATTAACCAAAGTTTACTTAATCAATAAATACACTTGAGTTTAAATATATATAATATATATATTTAATATATATATTATATAGCTGTACATAGTTATTTATTATACAAATTTATTCATGTGACTCCATTTCTTTAATTTTTACTGTAATCTGTTTTGAAGCCGAAACAAGTAGTTACGAATATATTTATATTATACTCTTGGCTAAGCTTGTATTTATTTTATTTATTATTTCACTTAATAAATATTTCATTTTGTATTAAAAAGCATATAGTAAAAAGCAAAAATTTATTATTACTATTTTTATTGTTTTAATACAAAAATAAGTTCTTTTCTTTCTTTCGAATAATTAATAAAAATATGCGGATTTTAGGGAAATACATTGAATTAAGAAGAATATGTAGTCTTTTATTTTGAATTAGAAATTTTAAATTTTCAAACCCTTCCAAAATTAAAATTTAAATCATAAAAGAAATTTTACAATATCATTGATTTTTACATAGAAAATGTTATGGGGCCTACTTAGATATTGAAAAATTTGATACAGTCTCTCAATTTGAAATTAATAATAAGAATGAAGTATTTTACTATTATTACTGAAAAATATTTATTTTATTTTATTTGTATATATCAATATATTAATCTACCTTGAAGAAATCTCAGGTTTTTATTTTTAGATCTTGCCAGTACTTTTTCGCCATCAGCTTCCTTTACAGGACCAGCACCATTGCAAATTAATCTTAGAGTTTCAAAATGTGATGGAGTGATGTTTTTATTATGTCCTAATAATAAAATTAGAGGTGGAACTACGTACAGTATAGTTGCCTAAAATATAATCTGTTTATGTCAAATAACAACGACTATGTTACATTAATTATTTACTTTGTGATCCTTGAGTATAGATAAGAAAAGTTCTGATTCAAGTTTAGGCAGAGATACTATTTTGCACCCTTCATGTAATCCCCTCAGCATTATAGCTGTTAAGCCATAAATGTGATAAAATGGTAATATTGCTGGAATTACGTCTTGATGATCCGCTAAAAATAAGTTTAGATTAGGATATGAACGCAACCAAATGGTCATATTATTTTTTACACCAAAATAAATAATTGTGTAAATTTCATAATTAAATTTTTAGTTATTTTAAATTATCACATTGATATTTGTAATTTATATATGACGCATTTGTTTTGGTTTCATAAAAAATATCAAATAACTTAGTGAAGTCGATTCGTATTTAATATATAAACTAACTATAAGAACTAATTGAATAGTTACTATTTGATATTTTCTATTACTAATTGAAATAATTTTGATGAAACGAAATCCCCATGTGAAAGTGCAACAAACATGCATATACACATAACTCAATTTTTTTAGTTAACCAGGTCCATAATTAAATTTCTAGACTCTGAGTTACTGAGAGTATATCTGTCATTAAACTAACTCATGATATAAATTTAAATAAAACTTAAAATTTTACCAGAAGTATTTATAATATGCTTAATTTCAGGATGTTTTAGTTGGTTTATGTTAATGGCCAAATTTTTGTTTGATAATGCAACTCCTTTTGAAAGTCCAGTAGTGCCACTTGAATACGGCATGAATGCTACATCTTCTGATAATCTGTGATTTGAGATTTTACTAGAAGTATCAACTGAAGAATCTATCATTTCAAAAAAGTCCCAGGCTTCCTCTACTCTAGAACCGGATATATTAATGCATATATTGATTATAGGTTTTTTATTAGGCTCTGCTATCATATGTTCTGCTTTAATTACTCGAGACAAGAGCTCAGGCGTTGTAACAATACCCACTGCCCCAGAATCTTTGAGCTGGTGAGCCATTTCATCTAGTAAAAAATATTTCATTAAATAGATTTGTTTTTAAAAACGCATTTATAAAAAATAAAGTTATGAACTTTAAATGTAAAGTCTAATCAAGCTTTAAAAATATTTTAGTAATAATATTGACACACATATTTTAAATTTCATACACTTAATAGTTTATATATTTTTTAAGTATTATAATAAAGATGAATTAACATGTGTTATGTTAGAAAAAATAGATTGAATAAAAATACTGTCGAAAAAGGTCTGCTTTTAAAATATTTTGTTATATTATCTCTCCATCTTAGAACATATTTAGTATTAAAATTATTGGTAAAATATTATTTTGAGAAGATTCATTTATATATCGTACATGATGTATATAAAGGATTCATGGTGGTGACTACTATGCCAGCTTCGTTGAATCCCAGAGAACAAATACCAAATTCAGGAATATTAGGTAAAATTATGGCAAAAACTTGACCCTCAGATACTCCTCGTCTTCTTAAAGTAGTTGCAAACCTCTTACAAGCCAATCGTGCTTGGTGATACGTATACTTTCTATTAGTCAGTCCACATACCTAAAAAATATCAAAAAATTATCAAGCATTAAATACAATCAAATTAGATTTTTCATTAAATATTTTAAAACATCCAATCAAAAATTTATTTATTTAATATAAGGAAAATTTTTTTTTTTGTGGCTTTCTTTTAATTATCAATAAGAACTTTACTAATAAGTAAAATACAATATTTTTTTAAAATAAAGTAATTATAAATATTTTATGTTAATTAAAAACATAAGTATTATATAAAATACCCTATTGATCTACTAGGTTTAATTTAGCTTCAACGGGAAGTTAAAAAATTTCGTCTACTTATAAAAGTATGTCCCAAAATAGCACATTTTAACTTCAAAAAATTTTAATTAACTAGTCGCTTAATAAAACGTCTCTAGACTTACGAGACTTGTACTCATCTTGCACTCAGAAAAAGAACGTTCCATGCTTTAATGAAATTGAATCATTGTTTTTAAGCCTAGCGTGTTACTTAGTAATAACGCTGAAATGNCACACTCAGAAAAAGAACGTTCCATGCTTTAATGAAATTGAATCATTGTTTTTAAGCCTAGCGTGTTACTTAGTAATAACGCTGAAATGAATTAAAATAACAATTTTTCTTTTAAAATAAAACCACATTCAATAAATTTAAAGATTTTTTTAATGACATTTTAAAGATACCGTAATCAAATCAATAAAATATAAATATTTTAAACAAAGGAGTCCATTATTTGTTTCATGAACACAATTTACTTGAATGTAATAAAAATATGTTTCTTTTAAAGGATAGGGTAATTGATATAACCAAAAAGTTCTACGCTTCTATCATAGAGAATCTTTATTTTTAAGTAAAAAATGTTACTTCAAATCAAAACTAAATTGAATTAAAATATTAATGTTTTACTTAAACTAAAAGTAATTATAACTTTGATTTAACGGAAGTGTAGAGAAATTATTTGTTTACTAACCCCACTAGACAGTTTTCATTAATTCAATACCCTGCCGTCTTTATTTTAATGACATTTATCGTTAAATAATAAAATCCACGTTTATTTTTAGCATATTTAGGTAAATTTTTTGGAACTGTTATTATTGTGCTATTAGATAACGGTGACTATACGCAACATTATTCTACAGTTGGCATTGTTTTGGTTAGTGTATAGTTGCTAGTGATTGTTTTTATAACTAAATGGAAGAAATAATTTTAAATTCTGTCGTCATTGAAAATAATGAATTTTCCGAAGAATTTTCACACGAATCAGCTCTACTAGATGTACTAGGAGAGTTAAAATATATTTATATATATTCAATATATTTATCGGTAAGTACACATATTTATTTTTATATCTTTTAAACGTGTGACGTTTTAGTAATTATCAGTTAATTATAATGGAAATTGACTTTTATACTTTACATTAAATTTAGTGATTTGAAAAATATTATTTCTCTAATTTTTTTTTTTAATTCTGCTTTTTATAAATTAGATGATATAGCATTAAATTCTCAACTCCTTACTATATTTAATGTACATTTTAGAACATGGAATAACATGTGAAAGCCTTAAATATATTAATGAAAAACACTTACAAGACATTTGTCCAAAAGCCTGTTATGGTCAACGAATAATATTTGAGCACCATTTAAAAAAGTGGCAGGCAAACTTTGTTAGTGTGAGTTAACTAAATTAATTTTAAGCCTTTTAACAGACCTTTCATAATTGATAATTTCTATAGGAAAAATCTAGTACCACTAGTGCTAGTAAAGATAATGCATCAGAACCTTTATCTGATTCACAAATGTCTGAATACTCTACTACAAGTTCAAATAATAGTTGTCCCATTTCTTTTATGAACCAAGTAATTTATAATTAAAACCTATATTAAATTTTAACAGTAATTTAAAAATACATATTTATTTCCTATTTTATAAAAATATTGTTTTCCTTTATTTTAAGATAAATATAGAAGAAATATTAAATTCATCTGGTAAAGGAAATTTGATAATGTCATTTTATAAAAAAAATTTAAAGCTTAGTGATGAATTAAGAAAAATGTTGACTGAAATAATTACTGAATATATTATACAGCATAAAATATATGGTTCTCCTAAGATCATTAATAATATTTCTGATAGTATCATTAATATGTTTAAATCTGAAGTTAAGGTTTGTAAAATTTTAAAAATTTTGTATGAAAATTGGTACAATTTTAAATATATCAGTATAATTGCCTTATAGGAAACATACTTCATTAGTGTGCCTGCACAAAAACCAAAGGGAATATTGTACCAAAAATATCATAATACATTGACAAAATTACGCAAACACAAATTGTGGTCTCCCATAAAAAAAGTAAAAAAAAGTTCTGATAGTAACTTAGAGCAAACATCTATACTACATAGGGCAACTATAAGTAAATAATTAATAATAGTAATTTTTACTAATAATTAGTTAAATAATGGGGTTTATTTGTAGATAATGAATGTTTAATTAAAGTAAAAAAATGGCTTCAGTTTAACATTGAGCCTATGAATGAAGTAATTATTAAATGGGAAGAGACTTGTGAAATTCGTAGAGAATATTTGTTGTCTCCAAGTATTAACATTAATAATATTCTCGAAGAATGGCCTATGTACAAACAGTCATTTGGTCACAGCTTGGTATTTTAATTATTAAAATTTCTTAAGTATTTTTAAAAGTAGTTTTTTATGTATATTTCAATTAATATAGTAATTGAAAAATATATTTATGTTTACATGTTCAGGATTACAATTTTATTTATTTTGCATTTAATGATTTTAAATTTATAGAGATGTATGTGTGTGTATGCCTTAGTTATAATTAGGTTTATATTTCAATGATACTAATTTACATAATTACTTATTAATTTAATTCTAGATTGTTATTGATTTTGAATATATATATACTTCAAAAGGAAATTCATTGTTTGTTAATTGGGATCAATTTATTATTAAGATCATTCCGTTAATGATAAATAAAATAAAGGATGGAAACAGCAAATTATTACTTAAACGTTTAATAGAAATAAACGAAACTGATATTGGTAAGATAATTTCTCACAATTTTTAATTAATCAAATAATAATATTTTAATTTTTTTTACAGAAACCAGAAATCTTTTAGTTTTAGATCTAATGAATGCTTTATTAGTTCCAACTTCCAGATCCTATGAAATAGATTCAGTTACAAATAAGAGACGCATTGTAAAAACATCTATTTCTGATGCTAGAAATTCGTTTTTATTAAAAGTGGCTTCAATGAATGATCTACATGTTCAAATTCAATTAAAAATTGATATCGCTTACAAAAAAAAAGAAAAAATACAACCATTCATCTGTGTTGCTGAAACTAATTTTGATGGTATCAATAATATTAATGTGTATTTTTTCAACACCTATTATAAATTTTCAAACATAATACGAGCATTAGATACATGCTTTAAAATTTTTCAAGTATTTAACTTACAGTACCCCATTCAATCTAGTTTAGTTTGGACATTTATACAAAAATTTATTTTTGTATCACAATTTTTAATATCACAATGATTGTGATATTAAAAGCTCTTCGCTAACTTCAATAATCTCTGATTTAACTATATAAGTTTTCATAATTTATCTATTACATTGCTCATAATTTTATTCTAATCTAATATTTTAAACTTTATTACAGTTACTAAATTATATACAATAATGAATCTAATTTGTTTTAATTGTAAAGATATCTTTATTGAACTTCATCAATTCATTGCACATTTGAAGTATGTTCATTCATTAACATCATCAAGTTTTTACCGTTGTGGCATACCACATTGTTCACAGACTTTCTCAACTTATCGTTCATTTTCTAAACACATGAAATCTGAAGTTCTTAATAATCAAAATTCTAATTGTAACAATCCAATATGGTTATTCTTGATAAATTTTATTGAAATGATTGATTTATTGTTATTGTCAAATTTTAATGATCAAATTATTTTAAATGTACAAAATCATATCACATATCACAATAATAAATATGTAGAATTATTTCAAGACAAATTAAAACCTAAACATCATTTTCTTATCCACTACTGTAATATAATAAGAAAATCAGGCCCCTTAAAATTTTTATGGTGTTATCGGTTTGAATCTAAACATAGACAACTTAAAGCATACTCTAAAAACATAACTTCAAGAGTTCAACTTCCTATATCTTTGGCTATAAAATACTCCATTCATTTTTCAGATTATAATTTAAATTTAAAAAATAGTTCTTGTATCTCGGCAAACTTAGGCTTACCACTAAATTATGTGAATATTTTGAAAAGATTAAAATTTTATTTTCTCCCAATGATTTATCTGTACTTAATTTGGCACATTGTTATGACCAAATAATATACAACAATATAGTTTATAAAACCAGTCATATACTAACATCTTTAAATAACAATCATTTATTGGTATATAAATTGAAAAAAATTATTTGTTTTGATGAGAAAGTTCTTTTTTTATGTATAACATTAAATGTACTATCTTATAATAAACATTTTGTAAGCTATGTTGTTTCGAATGTTGATACTGATAATCTCTATGTATTAAAAGATATTAATGATTTCTCAGGTCCACCAATTTGTTTATATCATCTTAATGATAAAAAAACAGTTATAAGATTAAAACATTTTTAAAGATTTATGGATTTTGTATTTTAATATATATATATATACTTATATATGTTTATTATTATTTTTAATTATATTTGATGTTTTAATATAATGTTAATTTGATAGAAACTAATGGAATAAGTAACTATGTTAAAATAATAATAATTTTATTTATGTAAATTTTATTCCTTATTTATTAGGAATTCATCTGTTTATATTTGTAATTTGTATTTATCATTTATATTGATTAATTTTTTACTTTAAAAATAAATATACTTAATCAATGGCAAAGTGTTAAAATTATTAAATTTAAATAACCTAATCATTTGTTTTTATTATTCACAAAAAAATGATAGAAGATGGATTTTTACTTTATTACTAAGTAAAGCAGTTATTAAAGTAATGCAAAGAAATTTTAATTTTTATGAAGAAATAGAATTGTTTTAAAAACCGACCTAATAATAATAGCTTAAAATCAATGCTTGCAACTCATCATATTTATGTTTCAAGAAAAGTTAAATTTATGATCAGAGTTAATTATTACAACGAAATATATCTTTAAAATAAATACCATAGGATGTATTTCTATTAAATTAATGTTAATAATTTTCCAATAGTTTAATTCCCAAGTATTTAAAACTATGGACTGTAAGAATAAAATTAAAGAAATTAATAATTGTTTCTTGNTTAAAACTATGGACTGTAAGAATAAAATTAAAGAAATTAATAATTGTTTCTTGTGAATATTCTTTAGCATTAATATAATGATTAAAAAGATGTCATTTCAATGAATCGATTACATAGGCTCCAAATCATACCCGTTTTTCCTTAGTTTTATATACTTTTTCCATTAATTTTAATAACTATTTCTCTGGGTGTGGATAATATAAATATTCTTTGTTTTTTAATAGAAAATATTATACCGTACGTTTTTACGTAGACTATTATACCACTAAAACACACTAAATCCAACCTAATATCCAACTTAAATTATTTAATCAGTATTGAAACTTAAATATACAAACAGAGCCATTATATAACATTTAACAAAAAAACATAAAGGTGTTCTTTTGGTCTATGAAAAGAGTGAAGTGTGCTTTTTGGTATGTGCCCAATTTTACCGATAGTCTATATCCATTAAATACTTATCATCGAACGGATTTTGCTAATCTATACGTCAAAAGAACCTCAATTTTATTTATTTTACTTGAAATTAAATAACTATCAAAAATAGCACATTTATTTTTTTTATTTATCTGCAATGACAATGAATTATTCAAATATCGAATCTAAATATGAATTATTCGACAGTGAAATAAATTAAACTAAATAATAATTATTAACAAAACTTAATTATAATTTAGTATCGGACAGTATAATTATTTTTTTAACGGCTATCTATACATGAATGTTGGTAGATCATGCTTTTAAGTCTATTTTCCTTATACATTTAATAACATAATTTTATTTTGTAAGTTGATCTTACAAGAGAATTAAATTTCAGCTAGATATATTTGCAAGTCAAAGTTAACGTAGTACTATTATTGAGTTTAATCGTGTGTAAAGTGTCTGTTCTTCATTGTAAGTAAACTCAGAGGTAAAATTAAATAAAATGTTTTTTTTATTTCTAAAAATACAGTAAAAAATTAAATAAGTACAAACTATGCATATCTGTTGAGTTAGTTTCCGTTCTGATCGCGTGCATAAAATTGTTACAGCCTTCGTTCAGAAAAAAAAAAAATAATTGTACCTATTAATCCCAGAAACCAAACGTAAATAGATGCATGCAAGTCGTTAATAACATGAAATATATTTTAGCTAGTTAAACATTTATACATTTTTTCTTTCGGCCTCGAATAAAAATTATTTAGACACGCAAGTCTCCATAAAATTATGATCAACTATTAACTTTTCAACCACTAAAATAGTAATTAACTAAATTATCGTTAAGATGTCTCGAAATTAGTAGCAAACGACATTATTGACTTATTATTAGTTTTGATTAAAAAGTAGTATATCATTAATTAGCATAAACATAAATGAAAATAAATCTGTCTTAAATCATAAAAAAAATATATTCAGATAAAGTTTAAACATATTTTATATTGATTTTTGAAACTTAATTTACTTATTTAGTATTGAATTTGTCAAGTATAGAGCTAAGAATTTTAAAATCAGTTAGATCATAGTTGTTATCTTATTTTTTTTTGCATTATATAAAGAAATCTAAGTGGAAGAATACACATAATATTTTTCTTAAAAATATTTGATATGTCAAAATGTAAAAACAAATAATATAAGATTGCAAAGTTATTGTGTATAGTATTAAATATAAAATGAACTAAGTTTATATACGAAGGTGTAAACTTATATTAGCCTTATTTGATTTACCTTATTAGTAAGTCTTTTGTTATATTTGAGATCAGTTATTTACTAAAAGGAACTAGGTATGTAAATTTCAAACAAATGTAAGTAACATTATAACTTTACTTGTTACTAAAGTTTAAATGTTATTAAATAAAAAGTAATGCCTAGTAATTATGTAATAGATTAAAAAAATAAAAATACAATATTATTATATAATTATATCTAAGTTGATTAATATAGTAAATAAATATTACCAAAGCGTCGTGATCAGGCCATTTTTCTAAATTTTTCCAAACAAATTCGTAAATTATATCGGATGGTATTTCGACGTCGGAAAGAGGTGAATGAATAGTTTTTGATTCTTTAGTATGAATTAAACGAACAGGCTGTCCTCGTCCATCTTTTAAACGAACAGCAAAAGCACGCGGTAAACAACCGTTTGCTAGTAAACGGGTCCACTGTCTCACTAAAACCATCTTGGTCAAAATTGGTTTAATCTGAAACATTAAAAAATTCGAGTTTAATTAAATGAATACTTATTTGTAAAAAATGTATTTATAAAATAGTAAATATTTATTTAATATTATTTATTACTATTTAAAATTAAAAATATTAATTTAAAACTAACAAATATTTTACTCAATAAGCCACAAAAAATATTAAAAAATACATTGAAATTAGTGAATTACAGTGGGAGACCTATACATACGTTAACACATATGTGTTTATGTTTAATAGTTTAGATCTAATTATGGTTAATTCATTAACATTGTTCTCGAAATACGTATAAACGAGTATACATTGAACATTTTTAGCCACAAGTGATCAGTTTTTATTAAATAATTAATACTAATAATAGTATTTTGAAAAAAAAATTGTTACATTTTAAATAATAAAAAATAATATTTTTGAATTATCTATGCGAAAATAACACAATTATATTAGACTTTCAATTTTTCCATACTTAATTGAAAAATAAATTAAAATTAAACCAAATAAAAATATGTTTTTAAATAACTAAAACTATTACTATGAATAACACGAGTTCTAAAAAATGAACATTAATATTTAATTCAATTTTTAGAAAATTTCAGTACAATGATTTGATGGAGTATTAAATTACGGTAGTTGTATCAACTTCACAGGTGTTTAAATAGTGTTGTATATCGTTATGCAAATATATCATATATGAAATAAGGTTAAAAACATGACCTACGAAGTAGAAGGAATTAACGAAAAGATATTCTAAAAGAAAAATAGAAGTAAAAGGAAATGTTGAATTAAACTAGTTTAGAATTTAGTGAACGGTACTGTGTACCATATATTGTTATGTTCAATTGATTTACATGTAAAATAAAGGTATAGAAAGTTAATACATTTCAAATTATATCTTCGAAAATGTATAAATAATATTAAAGAATTTTTGTATTACTATCGAATTTTCAGAGTTTACACCATAAATATAATATAATTTTACAAACGACGATCAAGAAAAAAGTAAGATTGAAAATTAAAAATCAAATATTATTGATTGATTAAATAAAATGTCCATTAAAAAAAAAAAATTATTTTTTTATTATTTTGTATAACGGTAAAAAACTATTTATATATTTTAATTATTTTTAATTTATAGAAACTTAGAAATTATAGTTGATGTATTGTTTTCAAAGTTCAGTCTTTGAATTTATCGTCAAAACTTTGTTCTTAACTTGCTAAGTATCATTCCTGTACTTATAATATGCTAAACTTAGGATAGTTAATTTATGTTAGACATGTATGTAATCTAGTTATGTTTAAACGCAGTAGTTTTTTTATATCAGTAAACATTACAGATAGATAATAAATATATACAGGGTGATTGACTAACTATGCCTCAAGAATTTTCTTTAAAAATATTAGTATTATCGTATATGTAATTATTTTATTTGTTATAAATCTTTGTTGATCTACTTGACAAGAAAAATGAAGATTCAATCTTCATCCCTCAACCCTTAAATCAATATCAACTTTAGTTTTTCAAATAGCAACCCAGTTTTTTTTTTATTAATCTTGTTAATAATAAAAAAAAAATTTCCTCAAAAAAAATAAAAAATCAATTTTAATAAATTCTAAGCGAGATATTACTATTTAAAGTTTAGGGGATTTAACAAATAAAACAGTAGTCGGGTAAATATAGTATCGTTATTATTTAGTGTACCGATAAGAAGTGGTAGCGCTTATCGATTTACGATCCATAACGTTCTCGTCTGTAATGATTTTTTCTTAATAAACCCTAAACTTTAGAGAGCCGTGGAGCGCTTAATATTTAATAAAATAAAATATTTTT